GCAGTCCTTGACCCTCTGCAGCAGGTGCTTCAGGTCCTCTTCAGTTTCAGCAAGCAGGGTTGTGTCATCCGCATAACGCAGATTGTTGATAAATGATATTAGCTAGCTTTACTTAATAAAATATGAATTTTGAAATATTTTATTTTTAAAAAGTATCATTGCATTTTCAAGGTTTATTGTGATTACCACGGCCATTCTAGAAAGAAAAATGTATTTATGTATGGCTGCAGCATCAAAGAGACAGTATGGCATACAAGTGATAACGCGACTTCATGTGATGTGGTAGAAGATATGGGTTATAGGGTAAGTATTACAGACTGTTCATAACAAACACATTTAACACTACAGAAAATCATTTACCTATATATAAGCTACCCCAATTCAATAAATATGTCTGTTTTGTTCTTTTTGCTGAAGACTCTTTTATCATTTTCTCACAAAGCGTTTACTTCTTTCATTTAAATTTTTATTCTGTTTGAAATTTATTTGTGTATGAGTTGTGACAGTCCAATTCTATTTTCCCTTTGGACTACATCTTGTATATTGTTAAATTGTGCATCCATTTTCTGCCAATAATATAACATCTCTGTTATGTATGATGCTCTGGTGGCACAGTCTGTAGGGAGTTGTACAGCTCACTCATAGGCAATACCTCTGTGGTGGTTTGCATCTACTAGCAACTCTGTGGGGAAAAGGTGGCTAGTTTCTTTCTATGCCATTGACAACTTCGGAAACCTGCTGGAGAGTCAGGTACGAGTCAATTCCAACTCAATGGTACTGACTTTGACTATTATATATCATGTTTATATATATGTGTGTGTGTGTGTGTGTGTGTGTGTGTGTATGTATATATGTGTATATATCTCTGTGTGCGTGTGTGAATGATATGTTTGGGACTCTTTGTTGTTCATTATTCATTGTTTTTTCTCTGCAAACCTTGTAGGTTTATAATAAGTATTGATACCTATTAGGAAAATTTTTCCCATCTTAAAAAATTATCTTGATTATTTTTTATTGTAATTCTTTTATATTTTAAAAGCACTTGGTGGATTTGTAGTGAATGTTAATTAAATTCAAGAGAATTATTATTATAAAAATGTTATATAGTATTATTATCTGTGTTTATTACTGTGTCTATTCATTTTAGTCTTAATATTTCTCAAAAGCTTAAGCATTTTTTAATATAGGTCTGGTATTTTTGTTAAATTTATTCTTAACAGTGAATGTTGTTGCAGTTGGAAATAAGAGTTTTTCTTACCATATGTCTGCCTCTTCCTCCCTAAAGTGATTGTTGCTGATATACAGAAGAGATTGTTGATGGTATTCCTTTGTTTAGGAATAGAGTTGTTGCGGGTTTTTTTTTTTTAAGCTTACCAGGAACATATGGAAGGTAAAAAGCAGGGAGTACAAAGAAAGGAAACAGATCAGTTCCTACAGAATGTCACCTTAAGTGACAGTACCAGAATCCAGGTTTTCTGGGACAGCTAGGTACAGCAACCACTGGGCTTTATGTTGCGGGTTTTGAGTTGTTGTTTTTTAATGTTTTCAGATTATTCTAGAAAGGATTATATATGAAAACAGCATCAGTTTTATCAATAGTAACACAGGAAGATAAAATTTAATAGAGAAATGTGTTCATAATTTTCACCTAAATTTCCAAACTATAATACTTTACCAATCCAAACTATCAATTAAGTATGAAGATAGTCAAAGGATACTCTCATGACTTTGAAAGTCTCACAAAATTTATCTTCCACTTAGGCTCTCTAGGTGCTTCTAGAAATACACTTCACCAAAGAGAAGAATGACTATTAAAAAGGGAATTTGTTGTTGTTGTTAGGTGCCGTCGAGTCGTTTGCGACTCTTACCGACACTATGCACAACAGCCTTAAACCCTGCTCTATCCTGCGCCAACCACATTGCCTCTGACACACCCATCCCGATTACCCCAGTCACCGAATCAATCCATTTCATAGAGGGTCTTCCCCTCCTGCACTGTCGCTCCACCCTCCCAAGCATGATGTCCCTCTCCAAGGACCCGTCCCTCCTGGCAACATGTCCAAAGTATGTCAGACGAAGCCCCAGAATCCTTGCCTCCA